GCAGGAAGAATACCAGCGACAATTTACCCACGTTTTACTCGATGAATTCCAAGACATTAACGCTACGCAGTGAGAAGTAGTGCAATTGATTTTGAGCCCTCAACAAAAAGTTTTTTTAGTCGGGGACCCGAACCAAGCCATTTATGGATTTCAGGGAGCAACCCCGCAATTAATTTCCTCTCTGACTAAGGATAAGGATTGAAAGACTATTTACCTTAGCATTAATTACCGTTCAACGAGTAATATACTCCGGCTGGCTAACTCTTTTGTCCGCCAAAATCAATCCAGTTTAGTCAAAAATATCCTTACTACTTCTCAAGAAGCCGGTAGCAAAGTAAGTTTTTTTCTCCGCTCCTCCGTAAGTTTTATTGTCAGGAAAATTAACTGAATAATCGCTCACCAAAAACTCCAATTTAATGATATTGCTATTTTATACCGCAATAATTATCTTTCCGGTCGGCTTGAACAAGAATTAGTCGCCCAGAAAATACCTTACGAGATACTGGGAGCCTTCAAGTTTATTGAGCGGGAAGAAATTAAAGACGTTTTGGCTTTCCTTCGGGCCATTCTTTACCAAGATAATCTTTCTTTATTAAGAATACTCAGATTAGAAGCCAAGATCGGAACTCGTACTGTGGAAAAAATTGAACTCCACAGTCAAGGCAGAATTTATGATTATCTTAATCAGGTTTTTGGGCTGACTAACGCTGAGAGTTCGGAAAAATTATCCGCCACCCAAGAAGAAAAAATCCGGGCTTTCATCCACAAAATTAATCATTGAAAAGAAAAGTTAAGCACCAAACTAGCACTAACGGATTTTTTCGCGGCCCTTCTGGCCGACTTTAATTACTGAGAACATTTAAAAAACAAAGTCAACCCCGTAGAGAAAGAAAAGAACGTGCAACAATTTCTTAATATCGTTCAAGATTGAGAAAAAAAAAGACGTAAGGAATATTCCGACTTGGCCGAGTTGGCCCATACTTTTTGTCAATGAATTATTATTGCTTTTGAGGACAAAAAGTTACTAAAAACTCGCAATAATCTTGTTCTTTCTTCTATTCACCAAGCCAAAGGTCTGGAATTTGCAGTAGTTTTTTTTGTTTATTTGGACCAAGGGACTTTACCTTACCGAGAAACCCAAGACTTAACCGAAGAAAGAAGATTATTTTACGTAGGAATAACCCGAGCCAAAAAATTACTTTACTTAGTCAGCAGCAAGGAAGTATATTCTCCTTTTTTGGAAGAAATAGATAAGAATTACTTAATCGTAAGCGGTTTTTTGGCTGGCAAGTAATTCTCATTCTCCAAGGCTTTTTTTGTATGTGTTTAGAGCTTTTTTTCTAATTACCAACAGCTGAGGAACACGATTTTTTTCTTAAAAATTGCCCCCCACTTAATTGACT